TATTAAGTGAGCAATTGTGATTCCCTTTGTGCTTTTGAAGTAAACAGCCAATACCATAACCAGAACATATACATGTGGCAAATATTTCGGGCGAAATCATTCCACAGACTGCCAAAAGCTGAAGAAATCACGTTATTATGGTTTGATCTACGTATTTTGCCTTCCTAGACAAATAACTCGCACACAACTTATTGTCTGTAAAATATGGCTTTCAATCATGTTTGTCACTTGTTTGTACTGTGAAATGTTGCATTTTGTGCTGCATCGGTTGAGTCTTTTCAAGCTGTAACTGTAATTTCGTCACCACAGTTTGCTAGTTTATTTCAGTCAATTATTTAGCTTACCACCATGTACAAATGGTACCTGGGTCCAAGCTGCTACAGTTTTGGTTACCGGAGAAATAATGTGACGGTGATACAGCCGAACATTAAAGACGAATGCGTCATTAGAAAGTTTGTATTTTGTGTTGCTCTGAGGGGACGTTAAACCTGACAGCTATGCATTGACATCGATAGCTTTGACGCACAAAAGCTACTGACCAGGTAATTAAGCCATATCTACTAATGTAGCTGACCGTTGATAAATTGAGTCCAGGAATCCCTATATCAAAAGGCGAAATATGTCAGTCCACTGAGGGTTCCTTAATAATACTTTTACGCTTCGTCACTAGGCCATAGACCGTTCATTTTTCAGTTTCTTCTTCTTATTCTAACAATACTACTACTACTAATGTTTATGCAAAAAGAGCTGCAGACGGTTTTGTGCCATGCAAAGTACATTTCCTAAACAACATACCACATGAAGTGTAACTCATCTATCATGAGAAAATTTATTTTCAAAAATACGATCTGGCTTACCTTGGCATTGATAACCCGATATACCAACCACAGTCGGCCAACATTTTAGAAATATAAATTGTCAAACATCGACACCATTCGTGTATCCTCTAAACAAAAGGGACGCGCTTCTGATACGTAAATCATAGCGAATCACGCCACCATATTGTACATACTCTGCTTTTGACAAAGAAATGTTATATCACATGCCTTGTGGTTGAAACAATCTATCCTGGCTTTCTTGGCTCCTGAAGTAATATCGTCCCTAACCAGTCCACAAGAAATTGTGCAAGTATTCACACAAGCAACTTTATTTACCATTTTGGCGATCTGCAGTTCCGAAATCACAAGGTTCTGGTCTCATTCTATCCTATTTGCAGCAGCACTCTACAATCTTTATGTGTTTGTCGGAGTTACTCTAGTTATGTGAAATGACTTGCGTCCCTAGAGGGCATGGACCAAGAGCAGCAATATGAACCAAACACTCAGTTTACGTAAGCAAACGCACTAAGAGAATTTAGATCCCGAAAGTTTATGAAGCAGACGATGAAATTCAAGTAACGCGCAAATAACAAACTTAAAGTAATGCTGTCATTGAGGGCAGAATTTTTATAGCAATAGACGTGGTGAACTTGGGCGACAGCTTGGTCTATATGCTTATATGCACACAGAATTTTGCATACGGTGCTTTCATAAAGGATATAATTTGAGAAGCAACACTATTGATTGCAAAACACCGCCAAAGTATCTGACGATCAACAATAAAAAGTGGCTTTCAAAAATAGAACGTTTGAAAGCGCAACATTATTCAAGGGGGTGTCTTAAGATAGAGATGCGGTTAATTAATCTTTAATCGGGCATTTGATTTCACTTGTATTCTGCTTTTGTTCCAAATATTTTGAAGTAGGTTTGCCATAATGCTCATCTTGGCGCGCGAAATCAAGGCTGGCCCCTGACCGAATTTGAGAAATAACATTTCGAACTTAATTTGAAAGTCTGAAGAAATTTTGTTTAGGCTCTCTGAGATTTCAAGGGAATTGAATGGGGATTTTTCGCAAATTTTTTCAAGCACCCATTTTTTGTACTAGCTGATTTCATCACTTGAAATGTGGCGCGGGAATTGCCTGCATCAAGGATTCTTTCTAATTTCTTGATCTTTTCAGTCCCTCGGTACTCTCTGCAATTCTTCAGAAACATGATAGATCGACGGACCCGCATGCGTCATCACAATCGCTAGTTACTGGTATGACTTTCCTGGCAGCCGTAAAGTCCACCGATGTTGATAATATCCAGTGATATGTAAGCCGGTTTGAATGGTTTAGACGGGCAGTCATAAAGAGTACAACATGGCTTCTTTTTAACTCGCTTCCACTCAAACCACAACCAGTGTCCATCATCAGAATGACTTTATATTTATATTAGCTTACCGGCCAGATTAATTCAATAGCCTTGAGGTGCTGAGGCTTATTATAACTTATGAACGGTGTTTTTCTGCACCGGCGCGCGTAATCCTGGCTGAAACTGAAGTGATACTTGAGACCATGCAGTGAGGTTATCGTATTTCCTAAGAAACAGCAACTTTTGACTAAGGCTTTCGATCGGTAAGTGATAACCATTCAGTAAAACTGAATTCATGATTGAGTTGAGGTTGATTATTTCCAGGTACTTAAAAGTAAGCGTTTTTGATAAACATTTGTACTGATGAACGAACGGTATAACTTCCCTCCCCCTTGTCTGCACGTCAAGGGCCCATTTCAAATCTGTGACCTATCTGTGATTCCTTTGTGGGAAGTCGCTTATACCACCCATCAGGAAGACCATAGTGGTTTTCCTCGCTGACCAAAGCAGTCATGCTAGACTCAAGTAGATCCCGTCACTCTTAAATTCAAGACTATTACCTACTGGAGCGCATTCTGGCACAAAAAGGAAGTACCATTTAATGCAATAAACTCCAGCAAGCCTAATTGATCCAAAAAATTACACAGCGCATAGACAATTGTTTAATGGGATCATGTCAATAAAGCGCATTCAGCTCTTCGATTTACTGTAACTGTCAGAACATTTATGCCACGAGTCGTTACGTCGGAATCGTCAGACTCACCAACAGCGAAATGTGAAACACCTGAGACCATCTTAACGGTTTGAGGTGCACTACCGGTGTGAGGCCTTGTATTTGTGTTCTTAAGGTGCACAGCATCCAAGGTCTTGACAAGGAATTTCTGTTGTCCAACTTGATAGAGAGTGAGGACACTGAAGGCTGCACCATTGAAATTGGAGCAAGACTTATAAACGTGGTAATGCGTTGCCTTGGTTTAATGTTATGGGGCCGAGAAAGCTCACTGGTTAGGGCGAAAATTTACTGACCAGAAGGTCCGTGGTTAAAACCCGACTTCTGCCTCTCGGCTATTCCTGTCCAGGCTTGGGCAATCTGGCAGTATTTTAGCCCTCGTGCTTTCTTCTGGTGTCATGGCACTTAGGCACCGAAAAGGTGCCTCAGCAGAACTACTTTCCTGAGAGATCGCTCATACATGAATCAATGGCTAAGAGACTGACAAAATGGGTAGACCACAGTGCATAAGTTTATGGATAAAGAAAAGCTCAGGACGATGACAACGAATGACAGGCTGTAGAAACAAACGATACGTTTTGTTTGCCTATACCAAAGAACAGGGTTTGTTTGAGGTACCCCAACAGGAGCCTTTGACTCAAGATTCCGCCCCACAAGACACCGAAAAGATATAATGTTTTGTGTGTAAACCTGATCTAAACGTCGGAAAAGCGCGGGAGCGTCTTTTGGGTTTTTTATGGAACTTCCCAAAATTCTATGGCCTTTTGATCTGACCCATTTGACTGTAGTTAGCCTGATTCGAGGGCGCGGGGCTAAATCAAAGCTGTTTGACTCTTAAAGGCGCTGATCAGAGCGGTTATCCCTTAGGAGGCACCATAAGCATTGACTTTAGAAGTGCTTTGTCCGTATTTCAGGATGAAAAAATACCGTCACTGTCAATCATTAGGCAACCGACTTGTAAGATTTTTAGGACCAACCTCCTCTAACCCATCTTTAGCTGTGGAAGGCAGCGTAGTTGTTTAAATTTTTATGAAAGTGTTGGTTACTTGAGAGAAAAGACCCAGCGCCTTTGCAATTACTACCAAAGGAGGCAAGAATTTACCTTGCAAAACCCGCGGTACAATGTCTCACTGTTCCCCACCGTGTTGCTACTTGTCGGCCATCCAGAATTTACCGGCAAAACCCGCGGTACAATGTCTCACTGTTCCCCACCGTGTTGCTACTTGTCGGCCATCCTAAACAACTGAATTATAGCCTGTTTAGCCCGCAGGATTATTGCAGTTGTCGAATGTTTCACTTGTTCAAATTGAGATTCGGCATCTGATTACTTGGAGTAAAATATTCGATTCTTCATGTCAGACATGCATGTTCTGACACTGTGGAAGGTGTTGCTACAGTTTGCGAAATGGTGAACGCCTGAGAAAAACATTCTGGCCCCAGAACTTGTTTGTTGTTTCAAGAACCATTCCGCAAATTCTCGACAATGATATAAATCATCCTGTGTTGGTGCCAAATTAACACAGTTGACGCAACTGTTCAGTAAAACTACCGGTCCAAAAGCATAAAAACTAATAGCACCTTCCTCAGCGCAGGCTTAGTGTGACCCCTCATGGCTGCTTTTGCGAGGTCAAAAGATTGTGCGTCAACTGAATTCAGCTATCAATATCGGATACCTACAGGAACCAGATATATCGGATGTATCCGCCACGTGTGTACAGTGTTCAGTAGCAAAATATACGAGGAGAAACTAGCGGGCGATTAAAGTCATATTGCCTGAGCCTGATATTCTATGTAAGAGTCTGACCGTCATTGGACACATTGCAATAAATCTAGATAATCAAGGGGCTAATTCTAAAATGAAATATATTCGCAAGACACAACAACCGTGTTTTGTAAGACACCAAAAGCCTGAGAAAGTTTAAAGGGACTTTCGTCTACCTTACGTGCTTCAATGGAACCTGAATATTATTTAGCATTATTCAAAGCACATGTGTGCATGTTCATGAAATATTAGCTCTACGCACAATGTTGAAGAGATGCAAAAATTGATACGGTTAAAGCAGACAAGGTTTGTTCAACAACCACACTTCGCTTACCACATAGCAGAGTGACGAATATTACGTGTCTGACCCGCATTGCAGAAACCGCAGCAACAAATAAGCATGGCGCCACAAAGTCCATTGAAAAAGTTACTGGCAAATAAGAGATTAAAACGCAAGCAACCCACCACATCACGTTTCATGTACTTCATTGATTTTTGGGTTCGTTTATTGGATGTGTAGACCTACAACAACAGAGGACAATGGGGGTTGAAACTCTGACGCAATGCTATGGAAGTTGTCTGCCTTCGTGGTAAACTAGCCCACAGACCCGCGACAGACTTTGATGAAGTGCGGGCATTTACACATGGTCAAAGTATCTACCCAACACCGCCACGGGCGACACCTGTCCTCGCATTCAGCATTTTCGGTTGCCGCTCGGTGTTCACGAAACTTAACTGAACTCTCGGAAACTATGGCATTTACAAGGTTACCACTTCATAGTGAAGAATACTTGTATAACGAATTACTATGCAAATTATCTGCATGGGTGATTTGCCTAAGTAAGCTAATCCCTAAGGTCATCCATCATCACCGACTGTGAAAAAGACGTCTAATTAAATGAAATATCGTGAATTGCGGTAAAACGTGAGTTGCTTACAGTGGACGAATGTTGTAGGTAGTTCTCAGGTGAGAAAAACTCATTGAGCTCTCCAGAATCCATGTTGCGCTTGTGGATTCACAGTATGCGGAAGTAGCACTCCCGTAAATATTGCCTGCCATTTGCATCTGCTTGTCTGGATGAATACCGCATTAGATGTCCGGGACCCCGATAATTCCTATTCCTATCTATCACCCCTGTAGACACATTCGTTATTTTCGGATGATAATGCATGGCTTGAAGAACCTCATGCGTGCGGATGCTGATTACGTATGTACGTACTTCAGGTTTAGTGGTACACTGCAGTAGAGTTCTCCATTGTAATTGGATTTGCTTGTGAACAATCAACTGCTTAATGACGGCTATTGCCATCCGGGGTTACAGTCCCTGAAGTTTCTGCACGAGGCTGTTAAATGTTTGCCATCTGAAGCTGTCGTCCATATATGGGAAAAAATGCAGGAGGTATACATTGTTACGGTAGATAGTAGTCCGACACCCAGTGTTGGTGCATGGAGAATCATCCTGAGAAAATATTTACGATGCTTGGAACAGGCTTGTCTCTAAATACAGAAAACAAATGGATGCAGGGGAGCCAGGTAGTCTGCAAGAGTGGGCATGCACATTTTCTAGCAAGGGCGTCAACCTTCTGGGTACACGCACGCGTAGCCTTTAGACAGGAAGCGTGGTTCCGTGCAGCGGAGTGCTTGCAGAACTTTTCAGAAACTGTATAATGATAAACAGGAAACTTACTGCATGGCATTCCCACCGTAAGTCATACACTGTAATGTGTGCCCGCTATTTGTTGTGTCTGTGACCAAAAACACATGGATGTTATTTGAAACACAAGTGCTTCCTGATAACATTTCGAATGTCGAGGTAGAACAATGTGATATCGCAGCAAAACTCTACTCTGACTAACCGCACATGTGCACTTATTTTGTCCATCATGAAAGTCTTCATGTGATACTGAACAAGTCGAACGGTTAACGCAAAAGAGCAAACTGTTCTCTTCTCACGATGGAATAAATACCCGGACGTCTTGCACCCGTGCCGTCCGTGATCACCAGGATTTACACACTTTATCTACAGGCCCTATATTGGTTGCTTTAAACAATTTATCCAAAATAGTTTGATGTGTGTTTCATCGATGTTCGCTATATCCGAGAATTATCAGAAAAGCGCTAACTCCTGCTATCTAAGAAAGAATTTGTGACTACAGTGACCTCCCCCTGACTGCAGTTCAACCAAACGTCGCATCTCCGGAAGTTTTGCTAAGAAATAAAGCATGTCATTTGCTAGCGTAAAATTCAAATACACGTCACTCAAGACGGAGGGCTGTCACTTGCGGTGGTAGTTCTTTACGTCCTGAGTTTTAAGGACCTTGCCCAATTCATCGGCTGAAAGCTGTTGCAGCTCACACGATTGCGTTCCACGGTTCAGCAGTTTCCAGCAAGTGCCCAACGTTTACCGGTTAGCGTTTATTTCCCG